CAGTAATTTGTCTTCCAGCTCGAGTGCTAGGAGGGAGAGCTGAGGACTTATTCTCTGCCCTTAGCACTTACTCTGAAACTGGCTTGTCTTTGCAGCACACTGATAGCACGTGTCAGACATCGTCATCACAACAGTTTCCAAGGGAACACCTTGACACACTTCAGGGTGTTACAGGGCATATATGTGAGACCTGGAAAAGCCAGTTGAGCAGCAGTGCTGACAAACAGCAGACTGAAAAACAGCATCCAGTTGCCCGAGGCAGGCAGAATATGTCTGTCTGTCCACCCCCCCCCCCCAATCTAGTAGTCTTGAAGCAAAGCACATTTGGAAAATTCAGAGGAATCCATTCCAGTTCTATTTTGGTAGGCAAGGCCAACTTAGAGAATTGGTAATGAAGTATTGCTGGTTTCTGCTGTCATCTCAATGAATTGCAAACTCAAGCTTCTTTTACTGAGTGGGGATTACAAATACAGGGAGAGTCACGGAGTCCTTTAATTTTTTTTTAAGTATCTCCTCTTCTGAATAGAGAAGAGTTGAAACTTATACATGGCGGTGTTGGCAAAATGACATAATTTTACAGCATCAGACCCAAGGGAACTCTGCTCCCCCAAATCCTGGTACCCAGTCCCCTCTGCCAAAGGAGCCTGCTATTGCTATAAAAGCCATGTCTCTTGCCCTACAGGGCGGACCATATCATAGGGACAGGGAATGCCTCTTCTCTATGATTTGGGACATGTCTCTCTGACAAGTCTCTCAGTCTGCTTGGAGATGCCACAACTCTTGTCAGCAGGACACTTCCCTTTTCTCTCTCCTCCTTTTCTCCCTCCCCATATGTTCTCATCTCCCTCCTGAAGCTGCTGCTTCTCCCCCAGGAGCTGCCTGCTCTCTGTCCCCCTCCTGGGCTCACTGGGGCCTGCTCTTTCTTCTTTAGACCCTCTTAGGCCTGCATGATATTGAATCCTTTCTGGGGTGGAGTCCCTGTTTGCAATCCTTGTTCCTCCTGTCTCTCTGCTTCCTCCTGGAGCTTGCTGGGACCCTCCCTGGTGGTGAGTTCCTGTTTTCAGCCCTTTCTCTTTTCTCCTTGGGCCAAGAGATTGTACTAATAAGTCTTAATGACTGACAGCAAAAGGCTTGGCCTCCGTTTAGCTGAATAGTCACAAAATGGCACACAGGATTTCCAAAATCTCATCTAGTCTAACAACTTCTGCCACCACACAAGCCAAAGACTCCAAAAGTCTCTGATTTCTAAGCTTTTTTTAAAATATACTTTCAACTCTTAAAAACTTTCTGTCTTTATTCTTTTGTTCTCTGCTTTCAGTAAAAATCTCTTAAAACTACCACAGGATTCATAAATCTTTTGGACATGACTTAATATCCACAATAAAAGTTAGCTTAAAACTTGTAACAAAAACCTGAGAGTTAAAATCTGCCTAGGTAATCTTACTTTTCTATATCATACTATACATGTAAGCTGGATCCAACTCTTTAGAAAATTAGGTGTTACACCTACTATGTATGCAACGTGGATCCAATTCTTGTTTAGTAAAAATAGATCTTTTAAATAGCAACCATGGTTATTTTGTTTTGTTTGTTTTTTCTCCATCTTGGCTGACACCCTTATGAGGATGGCAGCCATCTTTACTGAGGTTAACTGAGTGTATGTGCCATGTAATTTCACCATCATTTGAAGCCAACTAAGGCAGTGATAAAACTGAAGCTTCTTAGAACCTACTGGGCCCTCTTCTTAATGCATCTCCCTTTTAGACTACGGAAGCAACAGTAGGGTCTCCAAGATGTTTTGGATTCGGGAGAATCTTTGTATGTTAATGGAGAGTTGAAATTTACCCACAACAGTAGCAGCGAGGTCACTTCGGTTTACACGGTAAGCAAGAAACAGGAACTCTGGGAAGACGGACCTGAAGATGAGCCTTAGCTGTACTTCTCAACAGTGCCCTGTTTGGGGCTGGGGGAGACTGGGAGAAGGGAGGGGGGGAGAGAGAGAGAGTGTGTGTGTTTCCGTGTTTAATGCTTGGCTTCTTGACTCATCTTATGAAATGAAATTCCATGCATCTTTCTGAGACAGAAATGCAGAACTGAAATTGTCAAGTGGCAGAGTAGCGTTAAGGGTTACAAAGTTCAACCACTTGAGCCCTTGGTACATATTTACCTTTTATTTCACATACTGCTTGAGAACTAAAAGAAAGAGTGAGTGGAATTCTTTTGAAAGTATTCCCATTCTACCTCTGCCTCTGAATAAACAACTACCCCAGACTTTGTGCCTTTGGAAAGCACAAAAGGAGAACAAAACGCCCAGTGTTAGTCATTAGTTTTTGAGTAATAAAATGTCTGATTTAACTTTTCTTAACCACCTTCTATTTTAGTACTCCCTGGCAAATTATGTAAGAGCTGTAATTGGGCAGAACTGTAATCTCTGGGCAGGGAGATCACTTGAGAAGAAAGCAGATATGTTACAAAAGCAGCAGCTCAGAACAGCTCAGTGTTCTGCCAATACTCTGGTGCTCCTATGGAAGGCAGACACTCCAGCGCGCTATTAAGTATTGTGAGGAAAGGTTCTACGTGATGCAAACATATTCCCAAGGGAAAAAACATCCCGTGGGTTCACACTTGCGGTTTGGGCTGTTTTGCCCCATATTTAAGAAGGGACTGACCACAGTTTTCTTTCTTCGTGGGGATCTATTAAAAATGGCCTTGGAGTTTTTTTATTTGTGCAGATTCAGGCCAGTTGCATTATCCATCAAAGGATAGTCCTGGTCGTCTCTTAAATTAATAATCTGAGACTTCTCTGGTGTGTGCAGTGTCCGGATGGCTCCCCCCTCACTTGATTAGTTCAGGCAGCTGTTTTGCCTCGGGTAGTTAGATGGTAAAGAACCACACAGAAGTGCGGTTAACTCTTGGATTTGTTTAATGAGTGCCATCTTTCCCATACCCTTAGGCCATCTCACCTGGCCTGTGGTCCTGATATCCAAACAAAGACACCAAAGCAAGGGGGTGATCTTTGCCTCTATTTACAGCCCCCTTACTGCCAGTTGAGTTATGCCTACATTCTCTGCCTCAGCTCTCTGACCCATCTGCCCTAAATAAAGCCTTTTCCCGAATTTTGGGGCTGACTGAAGAAGCTTGACTTCACCTCCACTGTATTTCCTTCAGCCCCTTTAGCTACAGTGGTCTCACAGTGCATTTAGTGTTGCTAATTTTCTGTTTTTCTGAGGTAATGTTATGCAGTGTCTCATCTTGACCCTGTCTTTCCTGTTTTCCTTCTTCCTCATTCTTTCTCTCTCTTGCCATTTTTTCTTTTCCCTCACCCTTTTGTGTTCCATCCCCTCACCTGATAGCTTTTGTAGAAGGTCAGTAAATACAAGGGAAAAAAAAAGAGACAAAACCCCAAGTTTCTCAGAGAATTATATATCTCACCGAGATTTGTGTTCACTTAGTTCCGCATAGTAACTCATGAAACGAGGTAGAAGACATGGCCTTTGTGCACACTAGAAATGGTTCTAAGTAAGGGACCTGTGGAAATGTGCATACGCACGGTTCGTTTTCTGATGTGTGCGCTGAGTGCTTTGCTTGCCTGTACATCTGCGTCATCTCCATGGCAAGCGAGTGCCAGACCCCCTGGACTGCAGTTATGGATGGTTGTAAACAGCCGCGTGGATGCTGGCAACTGAGCCCAGGTCTTCAAGTGCTATAAACTGCTGAGCCACCCCTGTCCCAGAATGGTCTGTTTCTACAGCTTGTGTAATGGAGGCTGTTTAAGCGTATTGATATTGGGAAAACAGCAATATGAAGGGGGCTGTCAGGCTAGTATAGAGAGGTAACAGCAACATGGTATCTTGAAACCCAAAGTATGAGGATGTTACAAATATGTGCCTAATTCAAAAGTTTCATTAACATTTTTTTAAAAAATCTTCCAACAAAGAAGACGAATGAATATATAACTTCATTTCCTATCCACATAAGAATGAAATAGTGTTTGACCTGAAAATAAGCAGTAAAGACTAAAGATTCTTTTAATTCCTCCAATAGGCTGCCTGTGTCCTTTGACGTAATACCTGATGACCCTGATATGACCAGCACTTCCTATAGCATACTTACCCTTGTCATGAGCTTGTGGGATATATAACTGTTGGAACCTTAATTCCTCATTTGTCATGTGATGTTACTAAAAAGTATTTCAGAGAACTGTCATAAACAGTAGATCTCATGAGAATGATGAGACACTGTAGCTCTGAACAAGTTAACTATAGTTCTCTTGAAATGAAAATTAGAAGTCTTCTACCCATTTGTCTTCCATGGAGGGTTAAATTGATCTGAAGACTCTACTTCTGTTTGAGAATTTATAATATGTCATTGTATTTCTATGAGCCTTTACTGTAACTATGGAAATGGTTTCATTACACTTAAACAAGCTATAATTGAGCTGGAAAAAGAAACCCAATATTGGCTAGTTAACATAGGAATTACTGAAGACCTGGGTGACTAGCTAAACTGTGTGGGATTTTTTAATTAGTGATGTATTTGTAATATGTATCCTAATTACCATTTTTGAGGACATTTCAAACAGAGTACTTACTTGTCACATTGATGAAACTGCTGCCTTCCTTTTCTTTTGTAATTTTTCTTTTAATTCCCAATAACAAAGTGTTCAGAAGTAATTTTTCATTGTGGAGTGTAGTTGTCCCTGACTTTTGCCTGGGATCTTGTGTCTGAGGGAGCTATGGGCCAGCAGGTCAATCATGTCACCCACTTCTTTCTCCCACTTCTCCCGTTCAGAAGAGCTGATGGACACCTTCAAAACTAAAATGGAAGTTACTCGAAAGATTATCATAGTTTTCTTGAAGACCCTCGCAAAACCTAGTCTGCATTGAACTCTGCAGGTTTTGGGGGAAGCAGGCTTGTGCAGGGTCCCCGTGAGATGGAGAATGCGCTGGCAAAGTGACTGGCATCTGGTCGATTCCGTTTATTGAGTCCCGGAGCACAGCTAAAGTTTGTAGACACACCCTCATTTAATACCCAAGTCATCCTGTGGTATCTCTGGTCATCATTTTCATGGAGGAGCAAGTTGCATTCAGATAGAACTTAGAAAAGGTATCAAAGATGAGATCTGAACAAAAAGCTTATCAGAGCCTTGGGACGACTAAGCTTTTTCCGGGATTCCCATGCTCGTGGGATGATTTCACTATCACTCCCATCAACACCGGGTTTTCCCTCAACGCTTGAGCTCTGTCCTCATTTTTTATTATTTGCTGGCATGGATCCAGTCTCCCCAAACACAAAAGATATGAAATGTGTTCTTGTGCTGTTTTCTTCCTGGAGATAACCCTCAGGGGATGCTCGTTAAGTGTAACTTTAGATATTTGGGGGGCTTCTTTGGGCAGCCTGTGGGAGACCTGGGGGCGAGAAGGTGTGCAGGAGACAGGCTCGCCTGGCTTGTGTTGTAATAAGGCCGCCTCTTGCTTCCACATCCCTCCCACCCCGATAGCTCATACTGCCGCAGCTAGCACCCAACAGAGCCGCCTTCTGGGCTCATGAAACCGGCTTCTGAAGTCTCCGCACTGCACGGTAGCCTCAGGTCTGAGACAGGTGATAGCCTCCAGCACTCGGTTGTGGTAGATCGTCATCACGGGGGAGGGAGGGAGGAAGGAGGTTGTGCTTTCCCCCTGTGGGAACAGAAGAACCAGTGCCATTGAGCAGGTTTTGTTCAGGTCCGGAAGTTGGTCTGTCGGGAGGAGACCCAGGTGAAGCAGTAGCGGACACTCTTGTCTCCTGTCCCTCCTTCTCTGTCACAGTAGCATTTAATGCTGGACTTGGGCAGCATTTCTGAGCACAGAAAGTGCCAGTGTGTTTTCAATTAGGGAAGCAAGTAAGCTTATGGACCACCACTGGAATATGGGGGAGAAGGGTAGAAGAATCTCTTACTTGGCAAAGTTAAAGATGTGCGCCAAACCCAAAGAGGAGTGTGTTGAAGAAACACACACACACACACACACACACACACACACACACACACACACACACACATACCTAAAACTGTTGTTGTTTCAGTGCGAGAAATTGTTTCATCACCAGTTCTATGGACTAGGTATGTTATCACAGCTAGCGGGTTTTGATGGTTATAAGGAAAACATTAACATTGCTTGGTGAAAAAGCAGAATGTAGATCCTCTGAAAATTGCCATTACTAAACGACGAGTATCACTTGAGTATGGAAAAGCTGAGATTTACTTTCCTGCTTTTGTAAACATGTTATGACCTAGCAGGGATCCGCCTAGTGCATTTGTCACGTAAATAAATGTAAGCAAACTTTATCAAAATGTTAACCACTCTGATTTTCCTTAGTTTCTTTTACATCCATGAATAAAAAGCACACCCCCTAAAACTCGACATGATGTATTTTTCTCTGTATAGTACGCTGTGTATGTATGTATGTGTAATATATATATATGTGTGTGTGTGTGTTTAAACTTTTATATAATTTCAGATTATGCAAATCAAAGAGGTCCATGCAATGCACGGATAATTCACTTACCCCTTTCCACTCCTCATTCCTTGTTTAAACGAAGAGTGTAGAGTATTACTCTAACTCACTTGGTGGTTCTCCCCTTCACTCTACTTGGGTGCTGTGGGAGGACAAAACATGACAGATAGGCTGAAACTTAGAAGCACGTCTAGTTTTTTTCATTGTAGTGTGGAATACTGGATTGGCTTCCAAAGTTTGTAGCTTGCATCTTGGGACATTTTTTTTTTCCTTTCCAGAACTCAAAAAAAAAAAAAAAAAAGGTTGAAACCTTCATTTAGTTTTGACCTGCTCTTATTAGAACCATCTGTGGTTTTATTGTGACTGGTCGGCGATTTAGGTAGTGTCAGAGTTCAAGATGAGCAAGGGTAATGTGCTTGGTAGGAATGTGTGTCCTAGTACAGTGCCTAGGAGCACCAGCTCAGCAAATAGACTGAGGTGTACTGGGTTCAGTGATGTCTGTAACGTGCAGCCCACATGCACCACCTGTGCTTCAGCAAGCGTCACGGAAGCTGCCCAGTACTACTGTGATGTTGGAGCATTAAGTAGTCAACATCCATAATGTGCTTAGCGTGGCGCTTAACCACAGGAGCATCATGTAGGTTTCATTATTCCTTTATTGCAATCAGATGTGCCTTTTGGTTTTAAATCAGTGCTTTGAGGAGGGGAAGATAGAAGATGGAGGTTTTGTTGACACATGGGCCAGGAGCTAGCCATGTGAGTTAGTAGGTCTCCTAAGAGATGGGTGTGAGCAGCGGGGGAGGGGGGCATGCATCTCACCTGAGTTTACCTCCTTTTAGCTCTGCCACCTTATAATCCAGCCAGTAATGGCACGGGGATGGGTTGTGTACTGTTTGTGAGACACTCTCTGTCCTCCAGCCTGTAAGCATGCCCTACAAACACACCACCAAAGATCATTATGTAAACATTGGGCTTTGGGATTATTAGCTAGCTTGATTTGAAACACATAAAGCGGCACAAATGTTTCGGCCATGGTTTAGAAGTCTGATTGTCACCATGCTGAAAAATAATTGAAGCAATTGAAAAAAATAATATAAAAGCAGTGATCTGGCATTTCCAGTTTTAGGATTGCTATAAAAAAGCAGCCAGCACATGTTGGACTATTTAGTGGCACTGGCACCCATCAAATGTCACTGGACTTCACAAGGTCATAGAGACTCAACTTTGGTTCAGGGTTGCAGACTGGATCCATCTTAGGAGCCAGGACTGTGGAGCCGGGAACCCTGATGGCGTTGGGAAAGCCTCCGAGGTGTTACTGTCTACGGCACAGAGTCCACAGATACAACACTGTTTCTTTGTATTGGGTGCCATCACGGGCACCTCTAAATAGATCTGGGTTTCTGAGGATGACTGTGCAGATGTAAGCTGCTGTCACAGTTGCGTGTGTATGTGATCTCTCACCAACCAAAGCTGCCGGAGGGGGAGACATGATGTTTCTGTCACAAGCATGTCTGCGATGTGCTGCCTCCTCACTTTCTCCCCTACCCCTCAAGCAGCCAAACCCCCAAGCCCGTGCATTCAGAACACGGGGCAGAGCTATAGAGTTTCACTTCTGTCGTTTCCAAGATGATTAATGCAGTTGTGCAATGCGAGCTCCTGAGTGCTCCGGGAAAGCCACAGTATCCCAGTGAGGTAGAGTACCTCGACTCCATACTGCGTCAGCAAGGAGGGTATTTTGGGATATTGTAAATGTCACTATTGGTTTTAATATACAAGAATCTTCATCATCCGACATTAGGAATGTTCTACAAAATAGTGCCTAGAACAGCTATTGAGTTCTGAAAGTGGCTCTTTAAATAGCTGAAGCTATTTTATCTAAATTTCCCATTTGTGACCCAGTTAGATATTGATGAGGAGGGAGTTCAGTGCATAGTGAATGGAGCCAGGATTCTTTCAAGTAGTGATAAATTATAAAGTCAACAGGCTGTATGTGATTGTGTATGTGCGTAATAAGAGCGTTGCATGGGAACTGAAAAGAGGAAAGCTTAAATTCCCAGCACATTCTATTTCAGCTGGATATGTATTTTTGTATCTATAATAAACTAAGAAGTTGGGACATAATTTCTCACTAGCCTCTAGTAAACATCTTAGCTTTTAGATTTTTTTATAGAAATGTGAAAGAAAAACATTGAAACTGATTTAGTCATACTTCAGAATTTTTTTAAATTTCCAGCTGTTAGTTGTTGACTAAATTAGAAGGAATAACTGGCCAACCACCTGCTTCTTTTCCTTTGAGTTTCTCCGTACAAACTTAGCATTTTATGTTTGAGGGAATTTCCAGACTAACCCCCTCCATTTAAAATGGTAAAATGCTTAAAGTACACATAGCTGACCTTAGATTATCACCTTTTGTTAGTCATGTGTATCCCTGTCCATGCAGAATTAATAGACGGAAGTCTTAATCCCAGAGTGTATTTGTAAATGAAGTTTTAAAGGGAGAAGTATGATTAAATGAAGCCACAAGACTAGAACTGTGATGGAACAGAATCCTGTCCTCATAAGAAGAAATGCCAGAGGCCTTATAGTGGCGGTGTTTCTGTCTCCTTCCTTGCCCGCCTCCCCCACCCCGCCCCGCCCCCTTCCTCCCTCCTCTCTGACCTCTTCCCAGTCACTCTAAGGGAGGTGTGATATGGGTTCAAAGACAAAGCTGCCTGTGAGGAGAGTTCTGATTAAAAACTGGAGAGGATAACACCTTCACCTTGGACTTTTAGCTCCTAAAATTGAGAAAATTAATTTCCGTTTAAACGACCAAGATGTGGGGTATTTTTGTTATGGCATCCCTAGCTGACTAATAGAGCCTCCATTATATTTCACTAGTTACATTACACTGGTAATCATCCCAGTGACAGCCACTGTGTGTCCCCAGCTGGTCATGATAGTGTTATGGGCAGCTGGTGCAGTCCAAACACATTATGGTACTATATTCTGTACAGCAACATTTACATCTGGCCGTAATTGCCAATAATGCCGAGGTTGAAAAGCCTAGATTGTCTTTTTTAGGGTGCAGGTACTCTTGCAAACCAATATAAGCCATCCACGGGAGCAAGTTAAGTGATAAAGAAATACTTATTTCTGAATTACAGTTTGGTCTGTTTCAGTTGCATTGATTTTTTTTTTTCTCTACACTTAACAAAATCCCATAAAATGATTCCTAGTGTTAACTGAATACACATCTATCTTCAAGAATCAATTTGAAGGATTTACATATAGGTGTTGGTATAGTTTTCTTAAAGTAAATCATGAACTGTTGTAAATCTCCTGCCACACTGAAAGCTAGCACTTAACCTGTAATATGTGTTAGGGACCGGAGCAATGGCCCCACAGTTAAGAACGAGTACTCCTGTGCTATGCAGAGGGCCCAGGTTCAGGTCTTCTTACCCACACGATTATTCAAAATCATTTGTAACGCCAGTTTCAGGGCTTCTGACGCTGTCTTTGGGTCTCCATGTCCCCAGGCAAGCACAGTGCACTTATATACATGTAGACAAACAAAAATAAAGTATACTGAACTGTTAATGTCACATACTATATCGTGAATAGCATAGAAGAATAGGCAGTGAGGTTGGTTCATAAGAAAACATTTCATGGAAGTGAGAAGTCACATGTATTAGTGACCAGTGCCGTTAATAATCTTATTTTGGGAAAATACATACCAGTTGTTCAGGGGAGGACCTTGTAAGAAGTTTCAGTAGGCAACTACTTGGTTTCACAGTCAGATTTCTGGCCAAGATCTGTGTAGTAAATGTCTCTGGAAGTGCTTCCAAAGCATTGTGCGTCTCTCCTGTTACAGAGGAAATACTGGTTTTGTGTTCACCATTGAAATACATGGTTTTAGTTTGAGAAGCCTTAGTAGAAATCCAGTGTTGCGGAAGGGAACTGGAAAGGATTTCTGAGGTGGCACCCCTATAATTTGTTCATTGCCTCCCTATTCTAGAGTCTACCCAGATCTGAGTTGGTAATTGTGTCTTTTTAGACACTGATTACGTAAACCATAGTAATCCTTTCATTTCAGACTAATGAAAAACAATCAAAATGTAATTTTGGCCTTTTTCTTATATTATTAAATTTATCCACCTTGTAACTAAAGTGCTGTTTAATTTTTAATCATTTAACAGGTTTTTAAAATAAGGATAAAAAAATCTCTCAGGAACAGCATTCACATTTTTTTTTCTGAATTCCTGCCTCTTGGCTCACTCACTTTTATCTTTTCTGTCTTGTTGGTGGCCTGGCCCTCTCTGTATTCTTCATCTCTCTCCAGTGCCTGTACCATGAAGCACGCCCATCAACTTTGGAATTCCCTGCATTTACACACCCACACGATTGTTCTTAAATGGGTTTTACTGAGATGTGAGGTGAATGAACCACTGAACCAGGTATTTGTTTTTGAGGACTAAACCCTTAGCTGAAACATAAAATTTCACCTCTTTTAGTCACAAAAGTTGATTGTAGTTTCTTAAGCTAAATGAGCTTGTCCTTCAGTTCTGATGGCATGAATCTTCAAGTCAGAACTTGTGGTTTGCCGCTCTCAGTGACTGTTGTTGGCTTCATTTACTTGAACGGTGATCTGAAAATAAGACTGCCCTGTGATTAACAGATTCGAAACACAGACAAACGGAGTAGAATGAAGTCTTCCTTCGGTGGGTGATGATCACGGGAGAAACAGCCTCTTCCTTACCGATGATTGGCATGCATTGTCACTGGGTTCAGTGCCTGTGTTATTTTTAGTACTTTTTAAAGATACAGTGCTTAAGTGAACCATTTTGTTCTTACTTAAAATTTTTAAAGAAAAGAGAGGACAGTATTCAGAGTTATTGGCGGCCAGTATGCCAGTTATCATGTATAAAGCGGGCCCGAGCTCTTCTCGGCTTCTCTTATCACTATGGCTGAGAGGCTGCCTTGGTTGTTCGGGCAAGAAAGACCTGGCCGCAGAGAGATCACTGAATTCCATGCAGTCAGTCAGACAATGGAGTAACAGAACCACTGCTTAAAGCAACCTTGGTACGGTTACAGCTTAGGTGCAGCTACACGTGTCTGTGAAACCAAACGCAAGTGTACTTTATGGGCTGGGAAGTGGGTTCAGTGGGCCGGCAGGGTGCGCATGGGGACCTGAGTTTGAGTCATCGCACTGCAGGAAAAGCTGGGCAAGACTGTGCTTACCTTTAGTCACAGTGCTGGGAGGGAGGAAGGGAGAATCCCTTAGCTGCCTGGCCAGCCAGTCTAGCCAGGAGGCGTCCTCCAGATTCAGTGAGAGACACCATCTCAAAAGATAAGGAAACGAACAATTAGCGTGAAGACGAGATCGGGCACCTGCATGATTACGTGCAAACACACACACACACACACACACACACACACACACACACACACAATGTGCACATGCTCATCTGTTTTCATGTTTTTAAATCCTAGCAACCCAATTTAATGTGTGCTGAGGTGACAGAGTTAAATGATTGAGAATAGTAACTCCTACATAAATCTACAGATGTGAGTTTTATATGCTATACAAATTGGATTTTAGACTCGTAGAGTGTATTGTCTTTTTCTACATTTTAGAGTGCCAGATACACTTGCAATGAATGTGTATATAGATCTGGCCTCCGCATCACATAACATTCTAGTGTATGTGTGTGTGTGTGTGTGTGTGTGTGTGTGTGTGTGTGTAAAGGCTTTTGATTGAATTTAAATTATTATCTAGTCTCTGAATAAAAGCATTAGACCAGTACAGCTCAAAATAAATGCTTGGTGTTAAATTGAATTTGTATTCCATCATGTTCATTAGCACTAGGATGTCCCACTGTTGGCTTTCCCTTAATTCTCAAAGGAAGTTATGCTGCTGGTGGGTTTTAGTTGTTTTGTGTTTCTAGACTTTTAAGTAATGCTATAGCATGGGCTGTTTTCTGATTCATTCTTGATCTTTTAATTCAGTGGTGCAGTCAGCACCAAACCTATTTTGAACCCTCTGGAAAGCAAAGTTTATAAAATATGCCTTGCGTGGATTACTGTTACTTTTTCTGTGTCTGTCAATGCAAATTCCTGTGGCTTTGCACATATCTTGTGTAGTATCTTCTACTGTGCCAGAGCCGCCTAATTGCTTGTTAAAATTCACACCCCTGGCCCCAACTCGCAGTCACAGGCACACTGGTTTGCCAACTTGAACTTGGGTGGACGCCTTACCTTATCCTGACAGAATGGGTAGACGTCTGTTCGGGTGTCCCCAGGGAAAGTCACAGGACAGAGAGGATGAACAGGAATGACCTCTTTAAAACATACCCACAGCTTTTTGCAATTGAGGATACCAAGACAATAAGATTAAGCAACAGGTAAGAAATGTAGTCAGGTGATTGATGCCTTCCCCCCAGATTAGCTCTAGTAATTAGTAGAGTCTAGTCTAGTAATTAGACACAGTAGCCTTGTGTCTGAGCTCTCAATTTCAAGATGGGTGGACCAGCAAAATGGCCCAGCTAGTATGGGTGCTTGACAAAGCCTGGCAACTTGAGTGCTGCCCAGAGCCGTGTGATGGAAGGAGAGAACTTAGTCTCTGCGCACGTGCTGTGGCACATTCTAAACCATTTCTTATAAAGTTTGAAAGGATGCGCTGATGCAGAATTTATAGCTAGCACATAAAACTCCCTTCCGTTATTTCAGTCCAGGCTGTGTGCCTGCCTGGGTAGAGGAGCTTGGGGATGCGTGGCCGGGGAAGGTATTTAAAAAGAGCACAAAGGGAAACAACTGTTAGTATGTATCCGGCTCAAGGCCAAGCTTTGTTGGTGCTATTTATGGAACCAAAGAACCTGACTGAATCATCTGGGTGGACATACCCTTGTTTCTACCCTTCAGTTCAGTTTTAGTAAACAGTTATATAATAAGAAGAGGAAGGAAGAGAGGTGGGGATACTGAGAACCACATGTTCTCCTTTGTATCCAGTCTTGTGGACCTACCAAGAGCCATAGGTAGCAGCAGACAATGTAAGACATTCCCCTCCTGTCGGTGTTGCGATTTTTTCCTGTTTGATATGCCGCTGAGTCGTGTGGGGGCGATGCCTTTCTAAGCACGCGGTGCCCAACGGAGAGCTCAGGAGTTGAAGAGCTCAGGGTCTGAGCCGTTTGCCCAGCTCATGGCTGTATAAACCCGGGTCTGGGCGTGGCATATGCAGACGGAGGATATGACTGCTCCCAGGCGTATGGGTGAGGGGGGTTGGGGGAAGACTTTCGCTCTAGACACCAGGGAGAGGACAGCCAGGGGTATCTGGCGTCTGGAGGAGTCCAGAGCAGGGAGAGAACTTACTACACTGAGCATGGCCAGCAGCCTGCACCTGTCCATAGGGCGCATGGAGAGTGAGAGAGGAGGACCAGGAGAGCGCGGGCAGAGGGGACCGAGAAAGAGGGGTGTGAGGGAGGAGGAGACAGCGGGGCAAGCACAAAGAGGGCACAGGACCAAAACCGGCAGGGTGGGTTCTGTGGGACTAAGAAGTCGGGAAGGGAAGCCCAGAGAAGTTCAGGACAGGGCCTGGGGTCAGAAGAGCTGAGCTAAGCCACAGGTATTTGTGCCGTGGGCAGGAGAGCCTGGAGACCAGCGGTCTTTTCCTGCGCTAATAGGCACCGCAGATGGCCACTGATTGGTCCCTTCTGACCCCGATAAAGACCGGCTTCTCTGGTAGGAGGGAATTGGGGGGAGGTGGAGACTCCTTTCCACCTGAGAATGACTAAGGAAGCTATAGACTGTCCTAAACTCAGCAGTACGGAGATTGTCCTAAGAAACCTTAAAGGATAAGAACCTAAATAGAGCATTTGACGAACAAGTGTGGGAGACTTTATCATAAACATCAGTTTTCAGAGTTAGTTTATGCAAAATAAGATCGAGCAGGAGTTTGCCTTTCTATGGATTAAAAATAAGGGTAAAGAAGGTTATGGATAGCTTCATCTTCATGCTGTCTTAGGAACAAGTAAGCAGTTTTGACTAGATGCATGACGGGGGTGGGGGTTGTCAATGGCTTATTATAGACCTTAATAAATGCTCTGATGATTCATCCCAGGGTAAATGCACACTTAGAGTTATTAGGCTGTAGTAATTTATTCTGTTTCTGCCTGTTTTTTCATTGTCAGTTCTTTGCAGGATGAGCATACCCAGCCCCGTTTATTTTCATAGTTTGGGGTCATAGGACAGTCTTACCTTTGAAAGGCTAAAGACTGGTTTCTCACCAGTATTTGATTATCTTTTAATCCCCATTGTTGTGGGGACATGGTAGTTCTCTTTTCAGCTGTAAAGTTCCTAATGCATGGGGCTTGTAAAAGTGCATCGATTTTCATTTTATTTGTTATGAGGCTCATTTGGAGGCATTTTCTGGAAAAAAAAATGTTCTTCAAGTCCTCTACACTAAAGTGTTTGAATTCAGTATACATAAAATAACTATGATAAACTTTCATGAGTCTCTCCATGACTTCACGATGTTAAGGAAGAAGACACTGTAGCCAGCGTTCTCTGCCATCAACTTTGTAATTATAGACTTTTGAACTGGAACCAATAACACTGACATTATTACATCGACGGGACTCCCTTCAGCTTTTGAGCTTTTCAGATGTCCTAAATCCTCATTTTGATAATACATTTATGGTTTAATTCATTGCTTTTCCTTAATGTGTAAAAAAAAAAATATGTATGGTGCGAGTGGTAAATTTGATGGAGGGGAAAAAAATCTCATAGGTTCAGATGGCTTAATTTGCATATCATTTCTACAGTTAACCAATTTTATCCCATTTAACAATGGTGCCTGCTTCTTTTAATCTTTCAGGGTCGTTGCTCCAGGGAGAACTGCAAATACCTTCATCCGCCCCCACACTTAAAAACGCAGCTGGAGATAAATGGACGGAACAACTTGATTCAGCAGAAGAACATGGCCATGTTGGCCCAGCAAATGCAGCTCGCCAACGCCATGATGCCTGGCGCCCCGTTACAGCCCGTGGTGAGCATGCTTCCAAACCCCACCCCTGTCTGTGTGGCAGCGTGTTCTGTGTCTGTGCCGAAGCAGCGACTGCATGGGAACACAGGCAGCGGTGGTGATTGCCTGGTATTTCCATCCTGTAGAGTTACTGACTGTAGGACGTCGGCGATCAATCTACAGTCTTTTCAGAAAATTAGTCGTTTAACTTGCAGGTGTTAACCTGGCATTTGTTACAATAGTCATCAAAGTCAGTTTAGCTAAGATATATTCCATATTACCTTTAAAGGCAATAGCAATATTTTACTTAAAAACAAACAAACAAAAAAGGAAATGGATATATAATACTCTTTTGATTTTTGAAGCTGTTTCTCTCTTTCTTCCCCCTTTGAAGAGAATCCCTGTAGTTTTCTTTCTCAAAAAGGAGACTTGGTGAAAAAAACCTAACTTGAAATTACTTTGTGTTCACAAAGGCTAGGCAGTTCTCCACAGCGATGAGTCATAACCACAGGCTTGGAAGTCTTACCCAAAGAGAGCTAATCAAAGACAGAACTCCAAGGGCCTTTGAAAATAGCTAGATTTGATAAGCTATGAGTGATCATAGGTATTTAATATTTTCCTAGCTGTGTGCGTGGGTAGCTTGCTTATGGATACACACCTGTTTAAATGTTGAGATTATCGATGTGCATGTGGTAAATGACTTTAGTAATCTTATTTATGCCATAGTTAGTATTTGTTTGAAACAGTGTTTATGTTAATTGTTATACAGAAATTCCGAATTACTTACTTATGTGATGATGAAATTTGTAGAGATCAGAATATGTTTGACAGTAATTTATCACTAATGTGTTATTAACGTACTATAAGGTCATGAAAACACGTTTTTCTAGTTTGTTAATTGAAGCATGTGTGCTAACTGATTTTTTTCTACTGTATTTTAACACCTGAACTCAATGTAATTATTATTCTCTCTTAGAACTTAATGCAACAATCATTCCAAAAAAGAGGGGGGGGATTACATTTCGAGGTGGGAGGGATCCCCATATTACACCGGCAGTGATACCAATTATCAGTACTGTACAGTCGAGGTGAGAGAATATTATAATTAATCCTCTATCATTTTAATTTGATTTTATTTTATTACATCATTGTGGGCTCAGTTAAAATGTGATACCTTTATTTTATGCCATCTCCTAATTTTATATGTCTAAATGGTGATAACAGAAATATTTCCATTTGCTTAAAAATGTTTTGTATAATCATTCTGTCTTCCAGAAGTACAGTACAAAAGAAAATTCTTTCTTTCACTTGGCCCTCATGTATGGTTTCAAAGATCTGGGGCAGTTTTTACTTTAGTATATAAGTTTG